TCTAAGATACTACTTTAAACATACCGAATTACTGATTTAATGAAATTTCTACAAGATATTCATCTACAAATATAATATTTGGATCATCTGGCTTACCTTGTTTTTTTTAGAGATTGATCAATATCTGTGATAGATATCCTAGTATCGCCAATAGCTGGATAACTAAAGAGGAATTTATTTCGATTAACCAGAATTTCGAAGTCGACCTCCAATTCGGCAGGTAAATCACAACCGCGTACATCAAATCTCCGTATTTTATAGTTATTCCTTAATGACTTTAGTATTTCACATGCAACATCGGTGTCGATTATTACTCCCGACATGTCAATGGCCCGCAACACTCTATGATATGGTATCAGTTGTTGAGCAATACAATTTTTGATCCCATCTTGCGAGATTATTGCGCCACGCAAGCATAATTCTCGAACCTGATCAGTATTGGCAATATGCAAGCAAAACAGATTCAACGCGTCAGTATTTAAAGTGCTGTGGGCCAAACTCAAATACTGACAGCAACCATCGTAACCGCCGAGTGCCCTCGCCAAATCACAAATCGATTCAGCGCCGAGCTCATTACCGGTTAGATCTAGTGATACAATTGACGTAGTTCGTTGGAAAAGTTCATGAAGACCCTCACCRCAATCATCTTTTAAATTGTCGTAGCTGAAATCAACGATTTTCAAGGAGTGAATTGTTTTCAGACTCCTCGTGAGTAAGAATAGCTTATGTGCATTCAAACGGCTATTGCGTAGCCGAAAGACTTGCAGACCACCTAGGCTTCTCAGACCCCTGGGTGAGAGTAAGTAAGTATGTATATATATATTTATCTAATTTACCAAACTCACTCGGCCAATCGTTCGATGTCACGTGTACTGACATGATAATGCCAATCCTCATATTTGGCTGGTGGCGGTGGCCCATTAAACTCAATGCGCAAGGTATTCAAGTATGGAAAATACTTCAGTAGACGCAAATCTACATGATGGCAATAATCTGCAATCGCTGGGTCCCTCATTGYCACTTGCAGTTGTCTTATTCTATCTTTGTTTAGTGCGTTTAAAGCAATAATGTCTCCTTCCTCTTCTGGCGGCTCAACTTTCATATCAAATACACTGACCATTTCATCATCACCTTTCTTCTTTTGCCTTGCYGCTCTTCTTTTAGCCAATCTCTCTTTTGCTGCCTTCTCTTCGGCCGCTTTAGCATCTGCCTCGGCTTCAACCTTCGCCCGCGCTTCCGCGTTTCGTTTGCCTTCTTTRCATTCGGCCCGCTTTTGTCGCCTTAAACATTGTGCAGCTCTCTTTTCCTTCCTTATTAATTTATCTTCRTACTCGGTATCGTCACCGTCATACCACAAACTAGTAATTGATCTCGAATTRTAATTCCACGTTGAGTAGACACTCGTCACACTTGACAATCCCCGGATAGTATGCAATGGTTGGCTAATTATTGGACTCAACAGAACATGTTTATTTGAACTGGTTTCTGAACTTCGCATGCTRCTTTTCCTACTTCCCCCACTTCTGCTTTCAGTATCTTCTTCGTTCTCTTCCGCTTCGAGCTGCTCTTCCGCGCTAACATTACTACTGGGAATAGTCGTCGATGAGCCCGATGAGGAACATATGTCATCGCGTCTAACATGTTGCAGTAGGTTACGCTCATCTATCGAACGCAAACGTTCAATATGCAAATCGGTTACGTAAAATTTAATTTTATCTGCTAAACTCTCCATCTCAACTTCATCAAAATATCCCACACTCAATTGTTGCAGGTATTTTTCAAATTTCATTGTAATTCCCTTATTTTTCCAATCGATTTTCTTAACTTGCAAACCAGGATCATTGTGACGAGTCAAAACATAACGTTTCCAATAGCTCTCATCTTCTATATAGTAACATTTCTCCAAAGGTAGATCAAGGCTTAGTGTTTCGTAGTAGCTTCTCATTATAATGGGATCATTTTTAACTAAATCTATCAGTTCATTCGGCTCATACATTTGCGATAAAACTTTTCCACATAAATACCATAAAGGTGCGAAACCGGGCGGATGTATGAGCGCGTCAGCATATATCCTTTTATCAGCCTCACTTTTCATTAACCTCGACTCGGGAGCACTCTTATACACTTCATAAGCATTCATTGCACCCTTGTCTTCGGGAAAAACACCCACAGTACTCTCCTGCATACATCTTAAGTATGTTTCGGATAATCCAGCGTTATTGTCCGTATTACTTGTGACTGTGATTGGTTGATTGACTAAGCTTGGTTGACTACCCAAGCTTCTCTTTTGCATTTCCCTGCCGTTTGGAGCATCCAAAAGAAATTATATCGGAATTTAGTTTRCAGATCGAATTAGACGTAAGTTTGAATCCCTCCAAATAAGGACGCGAATAAAAAATATAAAGAAATGGTAAAAAACAGTAAAAAATATTTTTAACAAAAAATACAATAATTATTTTCAGCTTCTATTTTTTATATGTATGTCATAATTTGAGAAAAAAAAAATTACAAAAAATKTTGAAATTTTTTGAATTTCAATTTTGATTGTATTGGTAAATAAAAGTTGTAAGCGTAGTCGCAATCTACAAAAATTGAATATTGATACATTACATAATCGATATCATATCCTTTTTTTTCATACGCTTGCGCCACTTTTTTATAAAAAGAGTTTTCAAGATTTTTAACCRAAGAATCACGGAGTGACGTCTGACAATCCTGCGCCAGGATTTTTTGATACGGTAACTGATTTTTAGGAAATTCGCTACTGAGTGAAAATCAATATCGAAACTACGTTCAGTACCTGTGTGTATGAAGGCTTTTGAGTTTGCTGTATCTCGACTTTAKTTCATCGACCTGTTAATCCAAGTCGAAAACTGCAAAACATAGTCGACCAAAAAATTTCAAATAGTACCCGTCGATACAGAAATAACCGTGTTTGAACATGTAAGAAGCAACCCACGTAAGTAAAGTATTTTTATTATTTATAGAGATGGAGAAAAAGTCCCTCCCACCAAAATATTGAGTAATTGAAATGATGACTGTGAGTTTTTTTTGGTTTCAGTTCATTATCTCTTCTGCTTTCACTTTTTCCGAGATAAAATAAAAAATKATAACAAGAATGCAAGAACGACCACAGAAATAATTATATCGTAATACAAAGGCACGTTCACATTTATTTTTTATCACCAGGCGTTCAGCAGGCACAATATAGCACAATTTCGAAATTATTCATTCATAAGTTGAATAGACCTCTCGATTATGACATAAAAGTACGAATGTACGAGTGCGAAACGGTATGTATGTAAGCAAAAGTTCATTGAAACATGGATGAACAATGGATTTACGAGTAGAAATGTTTTTTAGATTATGACAGTGTATTTGTAAGACGTTCCTTTTTTTCAAAATATTTGAACCGTACATCCTCTTGCCAGAACCTCGCGTTTATAGATTAGCTATATATGTATATGTATATACATTTTATAGATTTTTACATTTTATAGACATATATCTCCTTAAGGTTGTTACAAGCTTGGTGGGAAAATTATTGTACCCTGTTCCTGTCTCTTATACACATCTAGATGTGTATAAGAGACAGTATATACATTTTATAGATTTTTACATTTTATAGACATATATCTCCTTAAGGTTGTTACAAGCTTGGTGGGAAAATTATTGTACCCTGTTCTGCGTATAAAAATTTCCTAACAGACAGCAGAGCTACAGCAAAGCTACAGCGCCTTTCTTGAGATAGGATTTTTTTGTCAGTCACTAACATTTGAGGGGGTAAGAGTTGAAAACAAAATCAAAATGTATTTTTGAATTACCCGAATGCTTTCTCCCGATTCACCAATCKATGACGATGGAGCAGAAGTTCCATTGTCCGACCATTAAGAAGGTCGAATAGCAATTACATTTCTGAAGAACAACAAAGCAGTGGCTGATGGRTTGCCGGMCGAGCTATTCAAACACGGCGGCGAAAACTGATAAGGAGCACATATAAGCCTCTTTTTAGAATATGGTCAGACAACGATTGGATTTTAAGAGTGCTCTGCCCAATTCACAAAAAGGRGGACYCCACAAWCTGCACMAACTGCCGTAGACCTCTTAAATAYCGCATATAAGGTTCTGTCGACCGTATTGGTGAAAGATTGGAGTACACCGTCACCAAACTGATTGGATCTTGTAARTRTGGCTTTAGACCTGGAAAACCCATAATCGACCAGTTTTTCACTATACGCTAAATCTTGAAAAATACGCTTGAAAGGAAAATCGAYACACATGACCATGTCACTSTTGACAGTCGTACCTTCGAAGCCGTAGATAATTTAATTAATTATTACCAACAACGTCAACTTTGAAATCCAACACTTAATAACGCTTGCCAACAAGCGCTWCTTCGGAGTAGGCAATTGAGAAGTAAAGTCGTCTCTCGACGAACGAAAGTAAAACTTTATAAGTCACTTATTATTCCCGTCCTGCTATATGGTRCAGCTGTGTGGACGATGACAACATCTGATGGATCGACGTTAAGAGTTTTCGAGAGGAAGGTTCTGAGGAAGATTTATGGTCATTTGCGGGTTGGCCATGTCGATAATCGCATTCGATGGAAGGATGAGCTGTATGAGATATACGACAACATTTACATGGTATAGCAAATTAAAAGACAGAGGCTACGCAGGCTAGATCATGTAGAAGGAATGGGGAAAATGGGGATGGATGAAAATGGGGTCTCTGAGAGCTCCACTCCGTTGGAGAAACCAGGTGGAGAAGAAGCCGGCTTTGCTTGGAGGAACGACGGGCACGCTGTTGTTAACTCGGCTATAACCGTCAATAAAGAAGAAGAAGAAGTTTATGTAGTTTATATTACTTTCTCCTCGATTTGTCACTTCATTAGTCAAATCTAAGTAAAAATGAACAATCAAAATAAAACAACAAATTTACATATAAATGCATTTTTAACATCAACATTTATTTTAAAATGAAATGTGAATTAAATTTAATTAAGTTAACAATAAAAAATAAGTTTATTGAAAGCTTACGATTAAGTTGTTGTTTATAATGACATACATATGTATATATGAATAAAAAATACTCGTCTAACTTAAGATGCTCGAATGCGTTTTATGTATCTAACAGGTAGCTCAGGTAAATAAATGCACACGAAGAACAAGATCGGACTGAATAAAAGTGCCAGTACCAGCCAACATATGATGATCAGCAGAGTAAGTGGATCCATAGGCACGTAAAGCTGAATTTTTTTTAAATAAAAAATGTATATAATTTTTGCAACGATTGCTTCGGTTGCAAGTCTTCCCTATGCCCTGCTAGTAACGTTATATTATGTAAATATTTGTTTTTTTTGTTTTTTGTAATTTAAATTATGAAAGCAACTTTGCTAAAACTAATATCACTAGCATATACAATTTTCGGCAGTCCAAAAGAACTACGTGCGTCCACAAAATGTATAAAATTTTTATTAAAATTAATTTTATTTATGCGTATTTGTGCATCGTAGAAATTGTATATAAGACGAATGCAGGTAACTTTAGACCAAGAGTTTCACTGGAGTATAGTTAGAGGCACGTGATTTGACTTAGGAGCGCCACCTGTAATGACAAATAATAGTAAAAATTAATATTAATAAAACTCAAAATGGAATTTTAACAATTTTTTTACTATATACAAAACGGTATTTTTAGAATGTGTACGCTCAATGTGGTACATGCAAAGGTATGTATATTTTTGTGACCTACTGTCAAAAACAAAATATAAATGTCGGCTTGTGTTTCTGTTTCGGACACACCCGTTCTTGTGCAGGAACCGAAAATGACTAGCATTCGCTTTGGCTGTCCGACTTTATACTCGCGGAAACGCCAACTCACTTACATACAGACACTCATACACACAGACAAAGATACATACAAGCCAACATACATATGGACATGCACACATACACACATACACACATACATACTTGCATGCGTTCATATCGCTTTTTTGCTACCTACAGTTGCATTTAAGTATCTTAAGTAATTGGTATATATTTTTAAATTTTTTATTCTTGATTTCATGTCGCACACGATTACAGCAAAAATAAAAGCGTAAATCTGCAGTCTGCCGCTATTCTTAGCAGTCGTTGACTTACTTACTTTTAATCTGCTGTTTACATTATATTCTTATATTACTTTTCGGCTTTTCCAGCTTGTGAACCGATATGAACTGTTCAGCTTTACTTATAAACATATTCGAGACTTGCAAAAAGAGAGGTTTCCTTCTGACTTTAAGAACCGTTTTCGTACCTTGTTTGGTTAACAGCCAGYCATCGGTTAAGTTCTGGTTGACTTAGACAATATTCCTTCTTTCGTTAAAGAAGCTTATTTTAACCAGAACTCAATTGACGGATGGTACTAACCAGATACTGAGTGAACGGCACTAAGAATACACGAGTAAGGGATTAACAGAAGGCTTAGCTAATCATAAGACGGCAAAATGATCAAATGTATTAATCTCCGCTTTATTAATTGACTGTATTATAGCGCTACAGCAAGTCAACTCGGTTTTGGAGTGAGTGGAGTTAACACATATCATAGAAATAGAGAAGCGTTTTCGAAATTTCAAAATGAAGTCATTAAAATTAAACCGGATTATTTAAAATCAAAATTTGGGCTGCTGAATACAATATTTTTCATCTTCAACGATCAGGCCAAAAATGGATCAAAATCTGGCGTATAATATTTATTTTTTTAATTTATGAATTATTTTTACCATCCTATCTTCTAAGTTGGTTAAAACTATTGCTAAATTTTACTAAAACCGGTTCAGTAATTTAGAAGTCCATCGCGGACAAACAACGTGACACGTACTTTTTATATATAAAGTCTTAAGCGGTACACATGACCACCACCTGGTCGCAGGAAAAAGTCCTTCACTGTGATTACGGCCTTCTCTGTGGATAAAACCAAAAAAAAAAATCCTAGACAGGAAGATATTCTCTGCCCAGTAACCTACCGAAAAATATTGATAATTTTTGCCTGCCAAAATTCGATTTTCGATGAGTTAGAAAAACTGGTAAATCATGGACAGAGAACTCAAGTAAACCTATACAGAAGATGAAGAATAATTCGATAGTA